TCTATGTAACAGCTTGGAGCTTTTTAAATTAGTTTTGCCTTCAGCCCAGAGAGCATGCAGGTACCCATCAGGGTGGGCTTCAGAGGGTGGACTGTGCATTAAGCAGGGCCACACATTGGCTGTTAACCGGGACACGTCATCACCTCTCTAGCTCTTCATTTCCTCATTCATAAATGGAAGACTAACATACCTCCCTCACAGGGCTCTGCTGATTAAGGCAACCTATGACCAATGCACATTTGCTCAGTAAATATTAGTTAGCTTAATCTTTACCACAGTCGGAAAGACATTATTAGGAAACTATTAATGTTTTTTTAAGAGGGGTAAACTGAAGCTAATTGTTCTTACATGCCCTTGGGTCGATAATGACTCATAGAAATGTTATGATCCAAACCTTACCCAACAGCAGTCTCAGTCCTCATCTCCACCCCGCTCCAGCCCATTGTCTGAATCATTGTGTCAACCTACTGTGTTGAGCATCTTCTTCTCTTTTGCTGACCCTTTTGAAGACCCTTCCCAGCATATCTTTTTTCCAACGGGCTGGCGTCTCCTTACAACACACCGAAATGTGTGTGTGATGAGGTGACGCCCAGGAGGACTCTGCCGGACCTTCCTCCAAGACAGACTGCCTCGTCCCTTTGGAAATCAATGTTATTTTGATTCAAAGGCACTGATTCTTTTCTGGTCTTCCTTATTCATTGTCTAACTTTCTGACACATCCAAAGCAACTGGCAGTACTATGGTTTGAATCAGGCACATTTTAGTCTTTAAACAGACACACTCGCTGTTTAGCAGTTTGGAGAGGTAACTGACAGCAAATTTTCCCAAAGCAAAACATCCTCGATTTCTAGTGTGTTGATTGCAGGTCCAAGTAAAATTCAATCCTTGGAAAATTCAATCTTCTCTCCATCTCATATGATGTGCTCTGTTGGCCCCTAGGTGAGGGGTGTTTCTTGTTTGCTTGATTTGAGATGCAATCCATAATAAAAGCTATGTTGTTGTTGTTAGATGTCCTTGAGTCAATTATAACACATAGCAACTTTATGAACAATAACAGATCTGTACTTTGGCCTATTACCAGCCATCCTCGTCATCTCTGATACACTTGAGCCCATTGTCACAGTCACAGTGACTCAGCTAATCTGTGCTAAACCAAGTCAAATCATCCTCTCCTGCTTGGAGAACAATCTGCTTGGGTTTTCCTAAACTGGGGTAGAGATTCTATTTCCATTCTCTTCTAAGAATTCAGTCTTAAACTTTGCAAATATCAGGGGCCACAATATCAGCACTGTCAGGAAAACACATAAACACATAAGAACAAAAAAATAAAGGTAATTTGGGAGAAGCTGGAAGCATTGAGTGACTAAACAGGAGAGTAGCCAGCAACAGGTCCCTGGGTTCTTACAGACCAGCACTGAGCCGCACGGGTCATAGAAAGGAAAGAATCATTTAGAAGAAGCTGAAACCTACCTCCCAGGCATCCAAGAATGTTGCTTTACTGAGGAGGACATGGCCTTTCTCATCTTTGGGGACAAATTCACTCCCAGCCTGTGAATGTAGAACAAAAAGCTTACACTGGGGGAGAGGGTGGGCAGGGAGAAAAGTGCAACATTGAGTGACTGGAAACCCTAAGTCTCTACAACTTTCATTAAAATGAATTTTTTTTAAAAAGGGGGGGGGGAACAAAAAGCTTACACTGAGTCTGCTCCTGGGCACCTGGGTTCTGTTTCAGGAGATTTCTGAGCTCTGAATCTCTTATTAGCTAAACTCCCACACCCACCTGCTATCTACCTGGGCCCTGGGTACAAACTTCAAGAACAGACTTCAATGACATCTCTAAACCATGAGGGGAAATCATCAACTGTCATCTTAAAATCCTCCCCATTTACAGACCTGCTGGTTGACTTTCAACCAGGGCTTGCAAAGTCCAAAAATTGTCATTGTCACCATGGAGGTGTGTCTCATACACGGAGACCACAAGAAACGTAGGGACACGTTTTCATTTCAGGCCAGTATGGCACCCAATGTCACGCCTTAAGCCATTAAGTAGGTCGTTGGACACAGGAAACCTCCAGCTTTTCAGGAACACAAATGTAACCCAGGGAAGGTGTGCTGGTCTTCAGTGAAGACGGGCAACCCTTCAGGTTAACCGTTCTTGGGCTTTCCTCCAGGATGCCACACACAGGCTCTGCCTTCCTTACAAGAGGGCCGAGCCCAGGCTGCTCCTAAGCATGGAATGTGACCAGGATGACAAGGCAGCTTTGGGATCACAGACAGAAATGAGACCACATCCAGCACACAGCCAGATCTGCCAGCAGGATCACATCCTTGACGGCATGGCCCTCTGCTTTTCTCAGCCTCCTGCAACTCACGGGTGGGAAGGAAGGACCTCCTCCCACATCCCTCATGGGGTCAGCACATCCTCTCTGACATCCACTTAGGAGCAAGAAGGGACGGGGAGACGCTCCAACCTGCAGCCCCTGTGGCCAGTGAATGAGGTAGAGGTCCAGATAGTCCAGTTTCAGATCCGTGAGGGTCTTCTGACAGGTTTGCTTCACCAGGGGCCTCTCGAAGAAGGTGGCCCACAGCTGCAGAGAGCGACAACCGGGGTCAGTGGTGGGAAAGTGTCTCCATTACCCCGAGATCTGATGGGGGAAGGGCTTTTTCCAGCAGAAGTGGAGGAGGAGAGCTCAGCCATCAGCGCTCAGAGCCAAGGACAGGTCTTGGGTGCTAAGGGTGTTTGTTTCATTCAGCTCAGCCAGTGTCTCATACATCCCTCTGTCAGGGGGCGTGTTCTGTTCCCCATTGATGGCAGGTGTGCCTAACTCTGACTACTTCAGACTCCCAGCTCTCCTGTGCACGTAGAAACAGAAGGTCCCTTTTCTGCTGCCCTAAGTTTCCTGCTGCCAGACCCCTGGTGGCTTCTCAAGGAGCCCCCACCTCACCTCCAGGCTTGAGTCTGTGTGCCACCCAGCCC